TGTGCTGATTGTCATATTTCATCTACATTCTGCACCCTTACAAGCAGTAGCGTTCCTACACAGCTGGTGCCAAAGTTGGACCATCACTTCTCTTGTACAAATCCTAAAATGACTGTTATGTGACCCTAACCATCTATGGCTATTTTTATAGAATCTTAATCTGTCTAACAGAAGTCCTACTTGGCATTAAAACTGCACATCTCAGCATTTCAAATGCATTGGAGATTTAAGTAACTTTGTTGCCTCTCACATCAATTTTGCTTGCAGAGCTCGTTTGCCTGCTATTTTAAATAGAGCAGAAAATAATATATTTTCATTGAAGTTGTTATCATTGAGTTCTCTTATCTTCATGACAAGTTAACCACATGGAAAAATGAGCTGATTTCTTTTATCTGTATCTGTGTATGTGTGTGTGTGTGTGTGTGTGTGTGTGTGTGTATGTGTGTGTTGTGTGTAGTGTGTGTTTTCTTTTTTAGTAAAACAGATAAAGACATACGAAACCACTTATGGTAAGTGAACATTTTTATTAGTGACTGATATATGTTATTTTGCATCCGGAATGCACAAAACATAATTTTAAGGACAAATGTGCTATTTGTGATGCTTGGAGACAACCAGAATACATACACTTTGACAAACAAAGTATCAAAATAACATATGGAACAAACTAGAATGTATTTGTTTCCATTTAATCAATTCCAGATTCTTTGTAAGCTCTATGACGAGGAAGAAGAATCCATCATGGAATTTTTTTGCACCCAACACTAGGACTTGGCAGCCAACTAAACTAGTGTTAACTTAAACGTTTCAGTGCAGACTTCTATCGTCTGCATCACTTAAATACAATGCAAATAAATACATTTAATTATATGGTTTGCAGCTGACAGTTGGTAAGTATAAGCACATTGTGCATAGGAATAAAATTGCTTGTATTAAAGTTGTCACTGAGGAAAATTTCCCTATTCCATTTTCCATTGTAAGCAAGTAAATGTCATTTGTTCGTTATAAAAAGAGAAAACAGAGGAAATAAATCATAAAATGTGACAATTAATAATAAATGGAAGATGAACAATTGCTCTAGTGCAAGAGCAGTTGGAGTGTGCTAGGTGACCATAGGCTCCCTGTCAATCATTGTTATAAGCTCCACCCTTTACACCTGGCAGTCAATACAGAGAGAGCCACCTCCATCTTAGCTCCCTGTCAATCATTGTTACAAGCTCTGCACTTTCCACCTGGCAGTCAGTATAGAGAGAGCCACCTCCATCTTAGCTCCCTGTCAGTCATTGTTGTAAGATCCACCCTTTACACCTGGCAGTCAGTATAGCGAGAGCCACCTCCATCTTAGCTCCCTGTCAATCATTGTTATAAGCTCCGCCCTTTACACCTGGCAGTCAGTAGAGAGAGATCATACAGGGAAGAGGAGAAATTAGACAATGTTTAATTTCTCTTTCTCATTTGCATTGTTTGCCATGGCTTTGCCTTGTCTGAACTGGATTTTGATTGAATTTGCTTTATCTATTACAGCGGGACCTAGGTATATGAATTTAATGTATTCTCCTGGACATTTCTTATTGCGAAAAATGTGTAAACCGAAACATGGTTTCCCATAGGAATGCATTGAAAACCAATTAATCAGTTTTGGAGGTCAGTAAAAAATCAAAATTAGTTGGCATGGAAACCAACCCACAATGCAAAACACACAATAAAAGGCATGCAAACGACGAATCTCAGCTCTCTACCTTTCCACAGCTTGAGAAATGCACCAAAAAGTCCAAAAACAACTGCAAACAATTTCCAGAATGGCTCCAAAACTCGATGCAAAGCTGCTCCAACACCTCCACACTCTATGCCATGTGCTACCCATAGGCTCCAGCTATGCAGGGGGCAGTGCTATAAACCTCCCAGGTGCAATGCATCCTGGGGAAACTTGTTTGTATTGCGAAAAAAAATTGTAAACCGAGGCATTATTTTCAATGGATTTTCATTTGTAAACCAAAAATTATGTTAACCGAGGCGTTTGTAAACTGAGGTCCACTGTATATAAATGTAAAAGTGACATTTCTAGGTGATTCTCAATATTTTGTTCAATGGTGTTTGTTACAAAGTCCCCTCCGTCTGCTACAACCTTGCTACTTTGTTGTTTAATTTCACGAAAACTGTCTCAGGTCATTCGTATGTACGAATGACTGACCACCCGGCCCTGGCGTGTGCTGCTAATTAACCTTGTTCACCTCTACAATACCGAATAAACTATCGAATAACCGACCACCCTACCTGAGGAGTATGCCCTGATTAACCACCCAGGAGCTGCGGTTTTTGTGGTTAACTGCAGCCTAATTGACCTTCAATGGGGTGGTCGTCGTTCGTATGCACGAACACGTGATGGCGGCCATCTTTATCTGCCGAACGCCCAGTGGGACCTGGTCAGCAAACACCTGGTACTATCTTCGGATACTATTTCATACTAACCTCGCTGGGATTTCTCATGCCCCGTCCATTCGTGTATAAAATACCAAAGACCGTCCCGTCGGTATTTTAAGACTACGTAGAGCATACAGACCCATTGCAGGACACTATGGCCGAGGACTCCTGGGCTAATATCTCAACAGCCCTCAAGACAATCTTTATCCCCATGGCGTTCCCATGCCATTCGTGAGATCTGAGAGCTTTTCAAATATCTTGTGCGCTCAGATCCAACCTATCTGGGCATAGGTTGAATGTGACAATTAAAGAATATGGTGTATAAGTTATGTATTTTTATTCAGCTTTCATGTATCTATAAAAGTTAGAATATTGCCTGTACCTGAAGATAATTGAGTTACTGTAACCGTTGAAACCAATTATCTCCAGAGGGGAGGGTTTTAAAAGATGCACTTCGTACCCATTGGTTATTGTCCCTTGTCACCCTGTGTACCATTAGGTCCAGAGGGGTGTGCCTCTGGCCTGAAAATATGTATTTAAGCAGTGCATGAGTGATCAATAAACCAGTCTTCTTACCCTCAACTCGCAGCCTTGACGCGTGTTGTAGGGAAATGCGTTATGCTAATTCGACCTATATGTTCTACACTTGCAGGATTATCGCTGGATGCTGTTTGGAATTTTGCTACTGCTCTCCAGGATTAGGAATCGGGACATCCAAGCAGTCCAACCGTCAGCCAGCCTGAGGTCAACCATAATGGTGTTAATTCTAGAGAGGTGACATTTCCCTTTTAAAGGGGCACTTCACAGCCCAAATGGGGAAAAAAAGTAGAATTCACTCTTTAGTAGCTATACCCCCAATCGATACTTTTTCATACATGTATTATCTTAATCTTATATCTTAAAAACAGCTTGCAAAACAGGGAGTTCTTATGAACTGCAGCCTTTGCAATCCTTCCCCTTTTATCCTGGAAGAGACTAACAGTCTTGTCATTGGGTAAATAGTCTATCAGAGGCTTTTAATTAAGAAAACTCTTATGTTCTCCCTCCGTGTACATGCACACACTGGCATAACTACCGTGGTCACAGGGGTCACAGTTGAAACCATGCCCGTCACTTCAGAGGGCCCAGTTGCCCTGTTGACCCCTGCAACCTTGGGCCAGCATAACTTCAAGGCCAGTGCAAGGCCGCACTGGCCCCGGGAGCACAGACGGTGGGTGTCCGGCAGTAGGGGAGTGTTATTCGCTTCCCTACTGCCAGTCACTGCATACATCATGGCCGAGCAAACCCCGGGTCAAGGAGTCTGACAGTTCTCCCCGTCAGATCAGGTACCACGGACTGCTCGGCCACGCTAGATAGATGAGAGCAGGTACAGAAGGAAATGGAGAGAGGCTAGGGCTGGGAGAATGAAACACATGGGGGGGCTGTCAGGATGAGACTACTGGAGGGTCTGGGGGGGATGAGACACGTAAAGGTTCTGGGGTGAATTGAGAAACATGAGGGGATTGGGTGTTTGAGACACATGGAGAGGGTGGAGGGGGAATGAGACACATGGAGGGGCTGGGTGGGGATTAGACACATGGGAAGGCCCCGGGGCAATTTTTTCACCAGGATCAAATGATTTCTAGTTACACTTCTGATTCTAATCTAAGGTCTGAGAAGACCTGCCACTTCTGTTAGCCCAGGAGAGGTAACAGAAGTTAGAAGCAAACCTCCCTGGCTATTAACACTAGCTTAGTTGACTGCCAAGTCCTGGTGTTGGGTTCAATAAAAATCCATGATGGATTCTTCTTCCCTGTCATAAAAGTTTACGAAGAATCTGGAATTGATGAAATTAAAACAAACACATTCGAGTTTGTTCCATATGTTATTTTGATACTTTGTCAAAGTGTATGTATTCCGGTTGTCTCCAAACCTCACAAATAGCGCATTTGTCCTTAAAATGATGTTGTGTGCATTCTGGATGCAAAATAACATACATCAGTCACTAATAGAAATGTTCACTTACCATCCAAGAGGCTGTTTCATTAATTAATAATAAAAGTAATTTCTCGTAGAAATCGACACTTTTATGAAGTGCCTTTGAAATGGGATACAACTGACCCATAAAGGAATCTGAAGTCCTTTATGAATATGGAACTATTCCTACTCAGCTATTCTTCAAGCTCAGCTATTTTGACCTAAAGTTTGTTATTGCTTTAGCCTATTGTTTTAGTGTTGAGACTTTAAGAACTGGCTAATATAAACTGAAATACGCTGACTGCAAGGAAACACTAATATCAGATTTGGCAAAGTTTTTATGAGTGAAAGAGTTCTACATTTAGAACATTTTTAATAGAATAATATCCAATTTAATGCAATATGACGGCATTAAAAAAAAATAAACAATCTGTAGAGTTAAACACCCCAAAATCTTTTAGCACAGATTTACAGTCTGAGCCTTCAAAAGTGTGGTAAAATATAGTTTTTGTCCCTGTGGCTGATTAATTAACTGTTCATCGTTTTTCTTTTGGGATTTTACCAATGTATTTTGTGTTACCCTTCCTCTTATCAGATTTTCTGTAATTGAATTCCACTTGTAAAATAATTTTGCTAGCGTTGATGAAATTCGAGAAGGAAAGGCCGCTGACAACTGTTAGCGCGAAACAACAGTTGCAGATGTGAATGATTTATGAGTTAGATATGAATACACATCTGGATCTAATTGTAACCAGCTGAAAAATTGGCAATTGCATGTAGGCTTCTAGAACGTATTTGTAAGAATCAGAAAGCATTAACTCAGCACTCTTTACAGAACAAACAGTGTGCTTTATTGCGACTGATCTTGGAGAACCTTTTGAATGTCAGGACAATACTTCGTAACATCACGCAGACATTTCTAGATCATAAAAGGAGTTCAAGAAGGGATGGCGTCTATATATATCCTTTCTGTATTAGTTGTGCTACTAGTAAAAGCTCAGAGGGAGTCTTTGGGTAAAGCGGAAGATATAAGTCTGGTTCGGTACATTGAGGGTCGCATCTTGCTTCTAGAGGTATGTCTGGCAGCAGATAAATATTTGTTTTATTTTGCTTTTTAAGATGTTTGAAGTTCTAAAGGAAACAATACATTTTAATGTCACTCTGGGAAAAAAAAAGTTAATATTCTTAATGAGTTACTGGCAAAATAAATGATTTATGTACACATAGATTATTGGACATATAACATAGTTATGATTTGTTTCTGGAAACAAATATTTTACGCATCATATGAATATATATAGACTATTAAACAATCCCCTGATACAGATTAAAGATTATAGTCACAGAATGCCATTTAAAACGAAGTAACTAAGTTGACAAAATCAGTCTGCATACGTAGCTATGTTTTCCATTATAAAATATCTAATTTTATCCAGTATATTTTACAGTAAAGGGCAGTTTCCATATGGTTTGAATTAAATCTATTCTTTGTTTTGCTTTAAGTCGCTGTTATTTTATCAATGAATAACATTTCTACCAGCATTGTCATATGTTGTAAGGGGATCGTAACCTTTTGTGACAGAGGTATAGTTTTCTTATATGCATTAGTTTAAAAAACCCAGTTGAGACAGTCGTTTTTCAGTAGTGCAACTGTCTCAAGGACCAATTCATTACAAGTAATATAATTAGCAATATATTAAACTATGCAACATACTTACCTTTAGATTAAACTATGCACCAAGCCTTAATGGATTACTCCAAGCACCATACTCACCACATCCTGCTCTAGTGGTTATGGTGCCCTGTTTCCATGTAATAGGACACAGTGTTTTGCAAAAGTTGCCCTATTACCTGGGTCCCCGTCAGGTGCTGAGGATCCTCTTGTGTCCAGACAGCCAATAATTGCAGTTCTGTGCACCAAGACCAATTCAAATCACTGAAGTGGTCATGGTGCATGTACTAATGGTTTAATTAGTCTGTCCACAGTGCCTGGCATGTCTTTCGTGAACTAGAGGAGGCAGGACAATGTCCAACCTATTGTGAGCAGTAGCCTAGTGGTCTGCTGAACATGATTTGCCTGGTTCCAGGGTAAAGGGAGGACACTGAAACATAACCAAAGGTTTGAAAGCTACTGTTTCACTAAAAGAGAATACTAGGAACATTTTGAAAGGAGTCTTCTTAAAGGGACAGCTCATTGAAGTAGTCTGGGTGCAGCGTCCTAGGTCCCTTAATCCTGAATTATTTTTGCTGCAATAATTACCTGCCCGGGTTAATTCCACATCTAGTGTCAACTAGATGTTAGGTGACTTCTGGTCACTATGTATGGGGACATCCAGCGTCACCCAAACACCATAGGAAAGTATTATACATGATACATCATACATACTTTATCCCTACATGACTTTATTCCTACAAATAAAATGTTATTCTGTGGAACTAACTAATGGCAAATATTGTGAATGCTATCTTTATTGCTATTATTATTGCTATTTTGTTAATACATTGTTTCAGGACAGATTATACAAATGCGAACAGGACATACAACAATCAATGCAACTATTTAAAGACCTTTCACATAAGCTAATTTTGCGTCAAGACAGTTTTAATAGATATAAAACAGAAGCAAAGAATGAGATGGACAATTTGTTGGCAAGACTTGAAAGAGCCGAATGGGACATAGACTACCTAGAAACGACAACTTCCTCCAATGCATGTCTGGAAGTTGATGACCACCTGGTAGAGAAGCAAGTGATAGAACATGAAGAGTATGAAGAAGAAGAGAGAAAGATTCAAATGAACCTTAACACAAGTAGGTAAACTGTAGGCTCTTACAAACAGAGTAAAATGTGCCTTTCTTACTATAATAATTGAACTGATGATCTTTGGACAATACGTTTTCTAAAAAGTTAGACCATGTGCTTTTTCAAAAATAATGGTTTAAGGAAAATTAAGATAGGCAGCAGTGCAAACAGATATCATGTGGATTCACTCTCATATTTTTGAGAGTTACCAACAGAGGGTGCCCTCAAGTCATAAATAAGTCCTATGGACATTTAACAGTGGTTTTAAATATATTTACTTTCTTTTTAAAGTAATGCTATCCGAAACATGCAGGGTAATTTGTTGTATACCATCTAGAGAAAACTTCACATCTGTTTTAGAAAATATATTGCAGGAATAAAGCACTGGGATATTCATTGGATCGATGAGATTTTAAGCAACTTCTTAAGGACACACTCCAGGCACCTTACCAACTTCATCTCATTGAAGTTGTTATGATGCAAGTAGGACCTGGGAGCCTTGCTACCTTAAAAAGTCAAACTGTTTATGAACCATTTAAGCCCAAGACATCAATAGAAAAAAGGAGGACAAGCTGTCGGACACGACTTCACAACTTTGGGGTTAATCCATTCATAAATGGTTTAATACCTTAAGTTAAGATGGTGCCTTGGACCACCTTGCACCAAAGCAATTTTATTGAGATGAAGTTGTTGTGGTGCCTGGAGTGGTCCTTTAAGTTTTTTAAATAGTTGTGCAAAGTGTGGATAAGATTTTGGTTGTGCATCAAAAAGAGACACTGGTGGCTTGTGAAGAAGCATATTAGACTTTGCTTGTGTGGATAAATAGCAAATATTTAGAAAATATCAGTTACTTAAAAAAGCAGCCGACAGGGTGAAAAGTAAAAGGAAGAGAGACAAAGAGCAAGAGAAAAGTCAAAGAACTTCCTTCCTGTGAGTGTACCAACAAGTTCACATGCATGTATAAACAGTACTCTGAACTGCACAGCGCCATCTACAGCTCAAGTGCTAAGTATATTCATATTATGCAGTACATGCTGTTGCATATCCCAACATTAGATTATCTTAGAAGAATGTTTGCTCTGCCCTCTGAATAGCAATTTGCCCATGGACTTCATTGAAGGAATGGCTACTCAGTTGACACAATAATATTTTACTCTACTAACAGAATCCAGCCCAATGGTTCTTCTAGAATCCCCACTTTGTCTTGCATTTGAGATTTCTTTCCTTTTTATTTCCCCAGACATTTTATTAACTCGGCAACCTTGCTTTTCTCTGTATATCTTCACCTTCATCAACTACTATTTTTTTTTCATTGTTACTTAGATATTTGTGATTAAGAGTTTTTCTACATTTTTCACAGTATTTATCAACTTTAGCGTAAACATAAGTCAGAGCTTACAGAGTACCAAATGTAAAAGTTTTAAAAATATAGAATTCATTTATAATAAAAACTCCCAACTACAATTCTGAAATTGACATAATGAAAAACAGAGTAATCAACAAATATGTTTATTTCATTTTCCCCAGGCTGTAACAGCATGCTAGCACACATCAAGTCTCAGAAAACAGTGAAGAAAACGAAAATTACTATTGGCTCGTGGATGAAGAATTGCGACAATCAGTCAGACCCACAGGAGATCTACTTCTTTAGTGGGGCCAAAAATAATGTAATCTTGACTTTTGCAAATATCAGAGATTTTAGCAGCACGGGTTATATGCAGAAAGCTGAACATCTATACCTTCCATTCTTCTGGCAAGGTACTGGTCATGCACTTTACCATAATTACCTGTTTTTCCATAAAAATGGTACACTAAATGAAATTGTCAGGTATAGTTTGAGAGATAATGTTACGCAATCGATGGAACTGCATGGCGTAGGAGACCTTTCTCCCTACCAACTTTCTCCTTTCACGAAAATTGATTTTGCGGTGGATGAACAAGGACTTTGGACAATTCATGCAGATTCAGACATTGAAGGAAATATTGTCCTCACAAAATTAAACTACAATAACCTGACTATTGAGCACACGTGGAATACGACTTGTGAAAGCACCAATGCCGAAGCAGCCTTTGTAATCTGTGGAACCCTGTATGTCATGTACAACAGTCCAAATGGTGGAAGGTCTCATATTGATTGTATATATGACACATCAGATATTATTTCTATTCATGAGACACCTACCTTATACTTTCCCAAGAGATACAGCAGCCATTCCTCCTTACACTACAACCCAGTCGACCAAACATTGTATGGTTGGGATGAAGGATACCAGATGCTCTATAAATTTGAATCAAAGCCAAAATTTGCACAGCCCTAAAGAATAACAGAATAATAAATGTGTAAAATAAATAATACAATAAATATAGTAGCAAAAATGTATCTTAAAAAGAAGGTTTCAATAGCACCTGTTATTTTGGCCAATGGAAAGGTAGTGGTGTATAAAAGGAATGCTGATATATCATGTCTGTTGTTAAAATGTAATTTCGATGACATCACATAATATATTTGCCATTTGGAATTCTGATCACTGGTGGGTAAACCCTGCCGCAGTTGTTGAGCAAGAAGTCTTAACTGTAGAGCTTGGAAAATCTTCCAATGACAAGGCTCCCAAAAGGTCCCCCAAGCCGATTTTCTATTGATGTCCATAAAGTTTCCATTTTGATGATAAACTCTGTAGAGAAGTGGCAATTTTAATGTTCTTCTAACTTTATCTGCACCACAGTAGAGTTTTCATTGCACTTGTAAGAGCTATATGTGGTACAAGATGCTGTTTGGTTCAGCTGGCAAGTATATTGAGTTCGGTATAGATTCACCAGTGAATGCAGGTGGTCATAATGTTCAGACTGCTACCTAGAGGTCAACTTGAACTAACTACACCTTTATGTATAATGCAAAGGCAGTTATAAAACAAAACAAAGTATACCCCTCAATTAATATAAGACAATAAAAAGAATATGTCTTGCAGCAGAAAGAAAACATCCCATCCAAAGGGGAAAAAAAACATTAAATTTACAAGTATATTTTGAATTGCATGAGTATTCTCGGAATAGTTTTATGGGGAGCAAATTTATGAATCACCTTTTAAACCAGGGGTCATCAACCTTGTCCCTAATGCCCACTAGTGAGGGATTTGGGACTTCAGGTGGACGGTGGTGGGTTCTCCGTAAAATGCTGGTAGGCCACAATGTGCAGGCCGGCAGGAGGGAGATCCTTTTATCTCCCCCAGCCAGCCCAGGCAGAGAGACTGCCTTGCTGTGATCCCTCTCGGGTCAGGGAGGAGTTCAAAGTGCTCCCTCACTGGCCCGCTGGCACTTAGATCCAGCAGAGGGAGGGAAGGACCTGGGAGGCTCAATGTTCCTCCAGCTATCAGGCTGGTCGGAGCATTGCCACGCGGTACCATGGCAATGCTCTGATACAGTGCTGTGCTGGCGGGAGGAATGGAGAGTCAGGCTAATGCAGCGCTTGCGGCATTATGTCTCCCCGGTAAAAGGTAAGAAGAAGGGAGGGGGAGACATTAAGATAGATTTTTACATTTCACCTACCTACACACAGCATAGACCCTATACACCCTTCACACACAAACACACACTACACACCTCAGACATACTGCATACACAGGGGCAGAATGCTTGTTTATGTTCAAAACCATACATAAAAAAAATAAAACCACTGTGCTTTAATTAATCAAAATAATGGTCCGAATTTTAATTGTAATTGCAAGAATAGTCAATACTGTGATGCATATTTTAAAAAGATTTTATTATTTGTACTGCATGATATAAGTTCAGACATTCCAAATCACAATATAGAAAATATATTTACAATGAGCTTGTTTAATGTGCGTCAGACGACATACAGTAAGAAATGTGTAAATGCCTTAAAAGCCTTGCAAATCACGTTACTAAAAACTCCAATTTATAAATAATGTGACATATAATAATTATGTACTTTAGTAATATGTATTGTGTGCCTTTTTATTTTGCTCTGTCCTTTCTTTCACTCCCTTACTTGCGGTACGTCTGGGTTTTTCCAGCTCCAGTGAGCAAAATGACTCACAGTGGATTGTCTTGCTATCGCTATAACACGGAGAAGCAATAATCTTACAAGATTCTAATACCAGGATTATCATATCTTGATATCCCGAATCAGACAACTTTATCTAGAATCAATAACACCACTTTAGACGCACAATACATTGATTTATCACACAATATCAGAAGGTGATCATTGCAAGCTTTTTTAGTATTTGTTGAAGGGAAATCGTCACTTTGTGAATTTTTATTTTTCATGGGAATAATGAACTGTTTCTATATCACCTCAGCACAGTTGCCAGGATATATTTTGATTGAGCTGCAAAATATGTTGGCTTAAGATAAATAATAGCTTAGCAATCATATCAATAGTATATACATGACACCTGTGTACCTTTGTTGACCTATGGATCCAGTTACGAATATAGCATTACAATTCTTTAGTTGTAATATTAACTTATAGACCTGTCCTTCAAGTGTAATATAACTAAAAATAAAATAAATTGAGCAACACACGATAGAAGGGATAGAAAGCTCTCCATTGCACAGAGAAAGGCAATGTACATGAGGTCTCCGATTTATTGTGCACAGTTGCATGGGGTAGAGATGAATATGATTTGCCTGTTCCAAATATTAAGGACGCATTAAAATATCTTTGGGACTGTCATTTGTAGAATCACTGACAAGCAAATTTCTATTTAAAGGCCCACTATAGGCACCCAGACCACTTCAGCTCAACAAAGTGGTCTGGGTGCCAAATCCCTCTAGTGTTAACCCTGGAGCTGTAAACTGCTATGTTTACATTAGGGTTAATCCAGCCTCTAGTGGCTGTCTCATTGACAGCCACTCGTGGCGCTTCCGCGCTTCTCACTGTGAAAGTCACAGTGAGAAGACGCTGGACATCCATTTGGCGCTGACATCGGCAGGAGGAGGAGAGTTCCCCAGCGCCGAGGGAGCCCGGCGCTGGATAAAGGTAAGTGTTTAACCCCTTCAGCCCCCTTCAGCCCAGCGGGAGTGGGTCCCTGAGGGTGGGGGGACCTAAAGACCATATAGTGCCAAGAAAACAAGTTTGTTTTCCTGACACTATAGTGGTTCTTTAACTAGAAGCACTTTCTACTTTAGCCGATAGATGGCGTCAGAGGATTACATGTTTCAAAAGCAAAGTATGTTTCCTATATTAGTTAATGTATGCATCACCAGAGAATAATGCAGAGAAAGTTCTTGCTCTTTTTATTTGCTTAATAAAACACATATAACAATAATAATTAAGTATTTAAACAGAGAATATGAGAACAGGCAAAAGTTTAGAGAAACTTAGTAGCTTGCCCATTAGTCAGTCCACGTTCAGGTCTCAAAATTGTTTTTGCTCACGTGTGCCATTACAAAGAGAACATATCTCATTTGCCAGCAAGCACACTCTATTAGAGAGATAAAGCAACCCAAGACGATTGTTTCGGCCTGCTTCGGGACTCGTCAGGGAGGTGTAGCTGACAGCCCTCTAGGCACAGTGAGCACATAGTGATTACCCTTTAAGGTGAGGAAGAGCCCAAGCAATTGCACTGCAACAAAAACAGTGACTATGAGAACACTAGAGGTGTGTTTAACCCTGTAATGAAAACTTTGTCGTGTCTAGTACGTCATTGTTTTGCATTGAAGGGCTAAATCTACAGGACCACTGATGAAGTTCAAATAGCGTTCCTTTAAATGTGTGTCTTAAAATTATGCATTCGTAGTTCAATGTTACGACAGTCCAATGTTTTCTTTTTTCATTCGGTGCTATCTGCACAAAGACACAAACCTAGATGCACACACAAATATACACGGTCAAACACGTACACAGATGTGTACTGCCAGATATATAGACACTGCCAAACACACACACACACACATCTCTGTCATTGTTCATTATCCAACAGCGTCACAATACTTATGGTCGGGGTTTCAGGATGAATGTTTGGGAAATGTTTGAACTTGACGGACACAAGTCTTTTTTCAGCCTACATAAGGTCTGGTGATCTCCACTAAAAACCAGTGTTCGTCCGGAGAGTTTTAAAATGTTATTTCCACCGGGAACGGTAAATGTTATCGTGCTCCTTCAATCCATTCAGTCACCATTATTTTAATAAGCCTCACATAATTGCTCTACATAATTACTTTCTTATTCTATGGTTGGAGAAACATTAGGCAGTTTGAAGGAAGTAAAAGTGCGAAAGTTCTGTAACTCAGATAGTTTTTCAATTTTATTATTTTAGCCTAGATTTTGCAATTTGTTTTTCATTTGTTCACAATTTACAGTTTAGTAAAGGAAATATTCAAATTCATAATAAAGACTATCTCCTTGGGGCCCGGTAATACATACCAGTGTTAGGGTTTGCGACATGAAAATAATAAAAGATGGAGATAGGGAAGTGGGGAGCAGGGAAGCGACAGATAACGGAGAAGAGTTAAACAGAAGAAGGAAAGAACGGAGTTAGAGTTACAGACAGTGTGGGTGGTGGGAAATAAGGAGGAGATTCCTGGTGACTCCTGGCACTGACTGGCCAGCACAGACCTGGGCTCCCAACTGCTGCTGTCAGGATGTAAACACAGATCTGGGAATGGGGGGGCTCAGAGAACACGAGTAACATATAACTCTCACCGGCTGCATGGAGGGAGTGTGACGTCACAGGTGAGTAACAGGAACTGGCACAGATCTGCAATTTAATGACAATTTGTGATAGTGACAGGCATTGAGAGTGGCACTGTGAGACTGCGAGACTGAAAGGATTATAAAATGAGACAGAGAGATACTGCAACTGTGATGTGACAGCTTAGTGATGCAGTGACAGCTATATAGTGCAAGTGTAGTGTGACATAATAATGTGTGCTAATAACAGCTCAGAAATAGAGACCTGATGTGACAGCTGTGTGACAGTCTCATAGAGAGAGAGACATGCTGTGACAGCTGCGTGATAGAGCCTGATAGAGAATACGTAATAGCACAGCACTGACGAATTATAACAGACATGATGTGACAGCTCAGTTATAAACTTTGACAGAGAGACAAGTAATGACAACATGGTGACCATTTAATAGAGAGACATGCAATGGCAGATCATCAACTGTCTTACAGATAGACATAAAGTGATCTCCCCTGTACCTTACTGCTCTCTCATCCCCTTCCTTAGTGTTCCTCTCTCCTCCCAGTCCCTTAGTGGTCTCCCCCCCCCCCTTAGTGGTCCTCTCTCCCTCCCCCTTAGTGATCCTCTCTCTCCCCCCCACCCTTAGTGGTCCTCTCTCTCCCCACCACCTTAATGGTCCTCCCTCCTCCCTCCCATCTAGTGGTCCTGGTCTCTCTCACCCCCCTCCCCTTTAGTGGCCCTGTCTCTTTCTCCCCTTCCCTTTAGTGGTCATGTCTCTCTCACCCCCTCCCCTTTAGTGGTCCTGTCTCTCTCCCTCCCCTCCCCTTTAGTGGTCCTACCTCTCCCACCTCTTCCCTCAGTGTTGCTCCCTCCCCCCTCAGTGGTTCTTTGCCCCCGTGCCTCCTACCTATCGCTGTAGCGTGGCCGGGTGGCGTGGGCAGCAGACCGTGATACAGGGGCTTCTGTTTCCTGTACATGGCCGGACTGACAGCAAGTGCTCTCATTTCCTGTCAGTTCGGCCAGGTACAGGAAAGAGATGCACTTGTACTGCGGTCCGCCACCTGGGCCGCCCGGCCACGCTACCCTGAGTGACAGGTAGGGGGGAACGCTGTGCGCTTCCTTCCTGCCGGGTCACTCAAATCTTGTGCCCCCCTGGTCTGGTGCGCCCTTGGCAACTGCCTATAGGATGCGCCGGCCCTGGTCGCAACGTAGTCAATTGGGGAAGGGGATTGTGTATTACACTGGGGGAGATAGCCTTGTATTAAATTAGGGGGAGGGGGGAGAGCAATGTATGAAATTGGGGGGGGAGTGGAGGGGAGGGTAGTGTATTGAATTGGGGTAAGGCAGTGTATTTAATTGGGGCAATAGGGGAAAACAATGTATTCAATTGGGGGAAGAGGCAGTGTATTAAATTGAGGGGACTGAGGGGGAGGGCAGTGTATTTGATTGAGGCAATGGGGGAGAGCAATGTATTAAATTGGGGACGGGGCAGTGTATTAAATTGGGGGAAGAGCAATGTATTAAATTGGGGGAAGGGGGCACAACATATTCAATTGGGGAAGGGGGTTGTGTATTACATTGGGGAAGGGGGAGAACAATGTTTTAAATTGGGGGAGGCAGCCGTGTATAAAATGAGGGGGAGATAAGTGTATTTAATTGGGGAAGTGAGAGGGAGGGCAGTGTATTACATTGGAGGAGGGCAGTGTATTTAATTGGGGGAATGGGGAGAGCAGTATATGAAATAGGGGGAGAAAGGGGGGACAAGTGTAATAAATTGGGGGAAAGTAGTGTTTAAAATTGGGGGGAGTGGGGGCAGTGTATTAAATTGGTGGAATGGCAGTATATTAAATTGGGAGGTGTGGGGCAGTGTATTAAATTGGTGGGATGGCAGTGTATTAAATTAGGGAGTGTGGGGGCAATGTATTGGTGGCAGGGGGGCTATGTATTATATTGGGAAGAGGGAGCGGAGGCAGTATTTTCGATTCGGGGAGTGGGCAGTGTATTAAATTGGGAGAAAGGGCATTGTATTAAATTGGGAGAAGGAAGTGGGGGCAGTGTATTGAATTGGGGGAATGGCATAGTGGGGGGCAGTGTATTAGAGTGGATGGACGGGGATGATGGGCAGTGTATTAGTTTGTATGCTATTGGGCTGGTATGCAATTATTTCCAGGGCTGGTTTTCATACCCAGTTTGGCCCTGCAGGTCTGCCCCTTTGGGATGAGCCAGTGATGGAATTGCATCACTGAACCTCCCCCTTTATCCCCTCCCACCGATGACCT